TCATTTTAATTAATTTGAATAATAATGCATTATGCCAGTCCAAATCAAAGGCACGTCTGATATCCAGAAATACACCTACTGCTCTGTGTTTGTGGTTAAAAGCTTGGAAGATGGACTCAGTTAGTCTCACTAAATGATCAGCCATTTTTGTCAGGAAGCATTCTGTATGTTTGATAAAATGTTATTGGTTTTGAGGTAGTAAGTTAATCTTTTCACGATAATCTTTTCTAATAATTTTCCAAGGTTATTTAAAAGACTGATGGTCTGTAATTGAAAGGGTCTTGGAGGTTTTTATATTTATCAGGATTACAGTAATTATAGCATATTTCCAGTATGTTGGATGATAACCACAGTTTAGAGAGAAATTATAGATAGTAAAATAATTCAGAAAGTTTTAGGGAGGTTTTAGATTATGCAATTGTTTATACCATCTTCTCCTGGAGCACTATTGTTTTTCAGTTGTTTAATGTTTATTTTTAATTCAGTAATTGTGATCATGTGAGTAATCAATTTATGCATGAGTGTTGTGTTGGTGTCATGCAATTCTGTAAATATGGATGTAATCATGTCTGTATTGTCATGTATAAAGTTATTTGTTAATTCCAAGTGGATTTTGTTGAATGTGGGTAAATCGGGAGTGGTGAAAGACTTTTCAAGATATTTGGCAAATAAGTTACTTTTATGTTTGTTAGTGGCTCCAAGGCAATTATCGTATTTTATATTATATGAATTCTGTGGTTGAGATGGGTGGCAAATTGTTTTTAATTTCTTCCAATTAACACTGGAAGTTTAGCCTCTGGTTTAGTAATTGTCATGTAGTGCTCAGGGATTTCAATGTCAGGTAAGCTCTTTGATAATCCTTTGATCTGGTTTGGCTCTGAGACTAATTTCTTTGATATTGTTTCCTTGCTTTAATAATAACTGATGATTCCTCACAGTCTCAACTATAATGGCCATGTTTCCTACATTTATAACAGCTCCCTTTTTCTGACATCCTTTGGAAGGAGTTTTTGTTCCCTACTGATTTTTATCTGCAGTTCTGGACAAATATGACCTTTCAAATTGCACTTATTCTCTTGTTGTTAATTTCCTCCGTATTGAGTGACTAGTTATCTAATTAATACTTTCATTTCTTCTTGATTGTTATCAGGGGAGTTGATTTTTCAATACTGCTTGATCAGGTGATCCTGTAACTAGTAAATGGTGTCTTTTAGTTGTATATATATAGGACCTTAATGAATTCATGTTCCATTACCAACTAGAGAGCTTCTGATGGAGATGTACAGTGGCTTTGCTTCATCCTAATTTACATATTTTTATCTGTTGGGGCAAGCCTTTTCAAATCTTCCTCAAGTTTGGCTAAGGTCTCTTCTTTCCACCATATCCTGCTCCAGGAGTTTCCTCTGGATACTTCCTTCTATTGTAACACTGAATCTGTTGGGTAAGACAGCTGTCAATTCTTGATAGTTCATGGTTGTTATGACTCTTAGTTGGTATGTTGCTTAATGTCATTAAAGCTTTCCTTTAAAATGGGAAGCAAGAATAATAGTTTTTTGTTCACTGTCACACATTTTTACTCTGGTAATTATTTCAAGCTGCTTGATATGCCTCTGATGGTACTTTTCCATCATTGTATATTGGTTTCTTAATTGGGTACTGTTGTTGAAGGCCAGCTAAATTTTGGAACTGGATTTGATAGTAACATGGCTTGAGTAGTCCAGGATGTTTCTTCAGCCACAGATGACACAGCAGTAGTAGTAGTCATAGGTGTAAGTAGGTTCTCCTATTCCATATTTTGTAGTAAATGGTGTTTTAGGTTGGAATTATTAGCCAGATTCAGAAAGAATCAATCTTTAATCTTTGCATTTACCAGTTTGTTTTCCAGATATTTTATTCAATCACTGATATTCTTTTATGTCTCATTGATTGTGCTGTTAAAACCTTTCCTTGCTTCATAGATATTTTTCTGTACTTCACTTTTGCCTTTGTTCATGTCCTTTTGTACTTTTTCAACCTTGCTGTTGTAATTCCTCTTTACATCAATCATATTTATTTTTATTCTTTCTTTAAATATTATCTCTTTCTATTAACTCCTCTCTTAATTTACTTTCTCCTTCTTGGTCTTCCTATACGTTTCTGTCTTCTAATTTTGTGCCATTTTTTTCTTTTTGACCTTCATTCTACATTTTTTCATAATTTCAAACAAATTTTCAATCTCACTTTGATATTAGGTTGCCATCTTGAAGTATAGTAATTGTTCTATTTTATTTTCACCTAAACACCCTCACTTCCAACACTGTTATTTTAATGTGTTCTATCATTGAATAGGTTCTTTTGGGCTATCTGGTAAAAATAATGTTAAGTCCAGTCCACATAATGGTAAAAATTAATTAATTTCTTCAATAATGTTTCCAATGGGCCATATTAATTTTGATACAAGTTGTAGGCCTAATTTTACAAGGAATGTAGCAACAGAAACTGCAATACTATCATTACCTATGTCTAACTTATAAATAAGTTACTTACAGAATTTCCTAACTAATTGGTGTGATAACCCTCACTACTAACTCTGTATAATTTTTCGCACACTAAACTCGCTCATAGCTTACTTGTTAACTAATTAACTGCCTATGAATTCACTTCTTTTGTGGGTCTGTACTTACATTGTTCTCTTGTTTATATATACTTCACAAAATTTATGGATTTGTCATACGTCCACTAGTAAACAAATATCTAAATTTTAAAATTGAAAATTTAAATAGTTATGCTTTAAATCTCCCATTTACAGTCTCTTTGTTGTCCTAGCTATCCTCTGAATCTGTTTACTCGAAATTTATCAAGCTCCCTCACAACTATATAAGTTTAGTTTAAACTACCTTTAATGAATATCTCTCAGAGCTTCCCCAAACATCCTACTGCCAAATTTCTTAAGTGGTGCATAAAGGTGAAATTCTAAAAAAAAATATAGAGGTACTCATTTGAGTGAGGTGGACCTGTTTTTGAAAAAGAAAAAAAAATATGTGTAACATAAAAAACAACAAAGCAACTCAAATAAGTTCTGGTACTCAGTACCAGCAGAATTTTACCCCTGGTGGTGCCCATCTATAGAATGTAATTCACCCTTATCCTGAAAATTATCCCACAGATCTAACTAGCCCAGCTGTTGCTCTAAGCACATCCCTGATAATCTTTCATTTAAGCCTTTTATCCTGTTAAGTACCTCATTCCTGCAATTAGCCTAAAGTAGCACTTACCAAAAGGTCCACATCCCAAATCCTCTGAAGGAGTTCATTGTACTTTTTAAGCAGCTTTTGTTATTTCTAATTTACAACATCATTCACACCCATATGCATTTCAAAAAGAAAATACTCTTTGATATCAAGAACCTACTTTCCATTTCTTGTCATGCTTCCTTTATTTCTGCTACTATCCCACTCTAATAGCGCAGTATTCTCAAAAGCTAACTTATTCTCAAGTAAGTAGACTGTTAAGTGTAGTGTACAGTACTGTATCTTTTTAGCCTCCTGAAAGTTGCTATCAAGCTAACAGATCCCAAACGTAACCCAGTCTTGGCATGTATTGTACCCTTTAAACTCCCCACCACTTATTGCTAAACTACCTCTAATGATATCAGAGTTTATGTCTTTATTCTCTATTACCAGTCTACCCATTCAGTAACTGTATATCTAACTAAAATTAAACTACTTCACAGTTTATAGGTGAACATTAGAATCCACTATTTAGGCTATTTAACTAATAGTGATATGAATATGGTAAGTACAATGTACACCACACCTGTAGTTACACACGTAACTAATTGCTAATCTAAATTATTTACTAATATTTTAAAGTCTTAGCAGCTACCAAGTAATACTAATGAAAACAATTTCAACTTTTAAGAAAAATCAATCATCCTTGTTAATTAGTTAAGAGTTATTTACTTTAATAATTTTAGTATCCTCTGACTTAGTATTGCTATCTAAATACAACACTAAGTTAATTGTATTGATGTAACACTAAGCCTAATGTAATATCTTTATGCTTAGCTGCACCTGAAGTAATAAAACTAAAATACACTGAAATAACAACTCTAAACTTTAATAATAGCAAAACATATGTCCTTCAGAAAAATGTCAGAATCTATAACTACAGGTATTTATAATCTTTCTGTCTTGGAGCTCTAAAATGTGTTCCCCTTTTTAATTTTAACAGCTCCATCACCTGGACCAAAACAAAAGGGACTACTTCCCTATGGTTACACCTTAGAGATATTTCACAATGTGAAACAATTTAAACACACTTATTGCTAATAATGCAGTGTACATGACTTAAAAAAATTCTGGTTTTCAATGTTCATACAATAAAATATAACACATTTTTAAGTACATATGTCCACTTGGTGACCATATTCCCAGATTTGGACATCTCCTTAACAATTTTAACTTGCATTATTTTTTTGCTAGGTAACTTCATATTTGCCTAAAAGTTCAAGTTTTTAAAGAAATCTAGCAATCTACTTTTTTGGCTATTATTGTAATAAGTAGAAAATGTAATAAACATTAATGTAAAATGTGATTTTAAATTGTTGTGAACATTATAAATGACAGCCACGCTGCTGACCTGTTGTAGTGACATCATTAGTCAATGATCAGTGAGGGATATGATGTTCTTAGACTGAGTTGGCATGTCACAGTGCTTAACAGTGTCCTGGTTTGACCACCTGACATTTATGGCTACCTTGTGTGTCCATGATTAAAATACTTTAAACTAGGGAGATCAGGCCACCTTTGAGAAATAATGAAACTTAGATTCATTTGTATTATACTGAAGAGGGTCTTTTTGGTTTCTCAGACATCAAGCATGGTATTTAAAAAATGGATAAATATCAGGTATCAATAATAGATCAGTGTTCTGTTTTACTGAATCTCTTATAATTTTGTTTGTGAAAATATTACTGTAGTATTTTAGACTTGTTTAATTGCTAATGCTATTTCTCACAGGGCGATATGCATCGATGTGCGGCATCATGCTGTGATAAGACAGGTATGAATATAGATGAGGTACATAGATGTATAGAAACTTGCTCAGAAAAAATGAACAAGGCACAAAACTATGTTCAGAATGAACTGTCAAACTATCAAGTAAGTTTGAGGGAAAATTTAAAAATAATTTTATACACAAACATATTTATATATTGTTAGACAACAATGTGAAATGCATAGTTATGCAAATTTAATTTTAAAGTGATAAAATTTTAGATGTAATTGGTTGTGTATGTAATAATGTATTGAACTGTATAGCTGTCACTAAAGGGCATTTTACTCTCTGAAACTACAACTCTAGTTCTAACTTGATAAAGGTTCTGTATATGTTATATAGTCATGTTGTTTTACATAATTTCAATTTCTTATGTTTATGAAAATTGTGTAAATGGAATATGTAAGCACGATTACTGGAAGTTTTTTTTCCACCTCTGAGAAAGCTTTCAGATTTTATTTAGCTTTTCAAGATGCTTTAAGATTGTAAACACATATTTTGTATTGTCTAGTGAAATAAACATTGTTTTGTTTAATTATTTTTAATATTGTCTTAGAATTTATTTTGTTTATAATTATTCAGGATAGGATTCAGCGGTGTGTGATGCAGTGTCAAGATGCTATCAGAGATAATGTTACTCCTGAAACAACAGAAGCCGAAGTGCAGAAATATCGGGATCAATTTGAGTCCTGTGTGGTCAAGTGTGCAGAAACCCATGTAGACATGGTTCCTGGCATCTTAAAACGGATGAAGAATATGTTAGAAAAAGGAAGTTCCTAACAAAACATATGCTCTTAGACATTATATTAGTCCTGTAAAGGTATGATGACTTTTATGAGGCATATTACAATCTTCATTTCATCATATAGGGTGGTTCTTTGATGAAGTGATATGTCTGTAGGTAAATGTTTTGCGTAACATGTTTAGAGATACAGGTTTGGCAAAATATGAATGACAAATTACTTATTGTTTTAGAAAGGAAAACACATTTATTAGTAATCCAGTTGACATGCCAATAAAATCTATGTAGAAAACAAGTAATACTACCATGCATTTAATCATAGACTAATACCAAAAATAAATAATATTCTGTTTAAATATTTTCCTACTGAATCTCATTGAAGATACATTATTGTTTGTAATCAAATAAAGTGCCACATTAACACATGCTACAAACTACAGAGAAGTAATATGCACTGCTGATAATATCAGAAGAGGAAAGTGTTTTTAGCATATGAAAGGTTAATTTCAATACGATATTTTATCTCCTCTCACAAAATAGCTTTTTTCGACTAGCACTGTCCTATATTGGTACAAATTTTCAATGCATTCCGCTAGCTTTCCACCTCCCACTTCTGCGTATCCACATGCAGCAGCTATCCAACAATAGGAGCATGACACAACCCCTATTGTAACCAGTGCCCTCTCCACATTTGCACTCATTAATCACTTCTCAATTGGCAGTAGTGCTGTACAGACGTGCTAGTTTTTGTTTGTGGATTTGTTGATGTTTTCAGTTATACTATTGACTTCATTTTTCTTTATTATTTATTTCAATTTTTGCATTTTGGTATTATACCAGGTTACTTTTTTTTTCTTCTCAATTTTCAGGGGCCTATTTCCTTTTGTATTGTAGATCCATTTTTGTAGCAAGTGGTGCCTGACTTGGTATACTTTTTATTTTGAAAATTTACACTGTTCATCCTGTGACCATGCTAGTTGTCGATTACATTGTAGGCCTTCCTACCATGGACCTGATGTACAATTCCAGGTGCCTACAGGTATTGGTTGTGTGGCTCCATTTGTTTTTGTTATCTGTAACTAAATAATTCCTTTGCAGTGTTGGGTTATGCACACTGTTGAGATGGGGTGTTGCAGAGGACTGCTAGTAGTTTTCTCTAGCAGTATTTTGCCTCATAAATATGTTTGTCCCAGACTGTACACTCATAGACTAATGTGAGTAAAGTAGACAGAGATTGCTGATGTACAATTCTAGATGCCACCTGGTTTTTGTTGTTGCACTGCGGCATATTTCTGTCTATATATCTTATTGATTTTTTTCTATGGCATGATACCTTTCCTACCATGGAACTGATGATCAATTCCATATGCTGCCAGGTTTGGTTGAAGCACTCCACCATGTCATATATATATATATATATATCATTGCAGTTTGCCCCTCAGGATAAGATGTTCCTCCTCCCTACCATCTTCCGGATGTACATTCTTAGTGGTTCCAGTATTGGTTGGAGATGGTCCAGCTCAGTAAGTCCTCACATTGGTGCCGACCGGTTTCCCTCTTCCTGCTGTCAGCTGGATGCTGGTTCTCAGCAGATCTGATGTTCGTTGTAGCTGGACACAGCACATTTTCCCGCTTGTGTACAGCTGGATATCCCCCTCCTACTGCAGACTGGAAGTACTATACCCTTTGCCATCAGGTTTTTTGACTGAAGATGTGATCTTGTAGGGGGGCTTTCCACCTTCCTGCTGTCTACTGGATGTTGGTTCTCGGTGGATCTTGTGTTGGTTGAGTTGGAAATGCATGCAAGTGGTGACGAATTTGGGTAGGGAAGCTCGTCTTTCCTACAAATTTTGGTTTTGAGGTGGGTGTTCCTCTTCCTACCTCATATCTGATGTTTCCACCTGGTTTTGGTTCAGGTTGAACTACCACTACAGGCTATTCTGCTCTGGCCACTCGATACCCAGGAGTCCCATTCATTGGTCATACATATTCTGTGATTCCTTCATGTTTCTGCTTTTTATGTTCACGACATTGTCTTAAAAGAGCAAAGTGCCTACCTGGATCAGATGCGATGCGGTCTTCTGCTGAGGTGGGATGTTTTCTCTTTTGATTCCACACCTCCTGGTCTCTCTTTGAGTGCTTCCTATAGGGGGATCATATTTTTTATTGGCCCTCCACCTGTTCAATGTGGGATTTTAGCTATTTTGTGAGAGGAGGTAAGATATCATATTGAGAATTAGCATTTTCTACACTGAAAATGTATTCCCAATAGATACTTGCATCTTCTCACACTTTCCACCCAGCCTCCCCACTTCTGATGATATATGGTGTAGGTCTTCTGACCAATCTGGAAGTGATTAATGAGTGCAGATGTGAAGAGGGCACTGGTTACTATAGAAGTAGTGTCGTGCTCTTATTGGTGGTGATCGTTTGCATGTGGATATGCAGAAGCAGGAAGTGGAAGGCTAGTGGCATGCTTTGAAAATTTGTACCAACAGAGGGCAATGCTAGTTGAAAAAAGCTATTTTGTGAGGGGAGGTAAGTATCTATCAGAAATACATTTTCAGTGTAGGAAAATGCTAACTTTCATTTTGACAAAATGTTATTTGCAAGTTTATTTTTGTTTGACTTGTTTGTACACACTTACTAATTAACATAAATTTCAAAGAACAATAATACATATAATCAAAATCATGGGGTGTTCTTTGGCACATAAATATTCAAAAATTAACATTTAGGCTTGAAAATGGCTAATGCTTAATCCTCCACTTCTGGGTACCATGTGTAGAAATAATAATTTCCAATGTTGATGAAACAGTAATGTGAACAAGTAACTCAGTGGTGCACAACATATGGCTAACTAACTGTTTTAATCTGGCCCTTAAACATTTTAATATTATCAATGTAAAAAACAGCATGCTTTAAAAGAAAGAAATATTCTGTTACTTTGTTAATGAATTGTAGACTATTGTTGGGATTTATTTCCTTATAAAGTATGTGTTAAAATGACCCTGAGTGTTAAATAATCACAATCGGCTAAATTGCAATGGGCTTTTTTTTTCATTCGTTGGTTCTTTCCCATTATTCATTAAATATAAATACAACATTCGGGCCACATATTTTTAATATAAATCATTTATTTCTTCAGTAACATTCTACTGGATACTTTTTCCAATAGACATGAATAAAAGTAAAAAATTTAGGAAAATATGAATATTGAATTCTTCATCACCTGTTTCAGACCATGCTACTTGGCTTTTTACTGATCTGCCTCCTCCAATATAAAGTTTTGCAGCACTAGTATAAGTAAATGATGTTTCTGTAGGGCATGTTGATTAAAAATAATTTTTTTTTATATGCAACACATGTAATTAGTTGAGTATGGTAGTAATAAAAAAAAATCATTTATTAGAATGGTTTAAAATGTTTATTGAATGATTTTATTGTAAGTTGAAATTCATGTACTCCCACAATTGTGCATATAATTTTACTTGCTTTGTGTGGATACTGTGAAAATTGTAAGATGAAACAACTACATTGAGTTTTTCAAACTGCAAAACTAGCATAAACACTAGTGCTATGTGAAGGTAATAATAACACATTTTCTAGTAGAACATAAACAGTATGGTAGTTTTGTAGCCAAATTCAAAAAGGAAAATTAAAGATAAAACTACTGTAGCCCTTTCTGTTTATATAGTTTGTTCATTATGTGTAAAATATACATGCTTATTATTCTCTAGAATTAAAAATAGTAAATATTTTGCTCTATTCTGAACTTTATGCACCTCTAGAACAGGTCTGCAAAATTTTCATTCATCAAATTTACCTACATTTGATTCTAGAGCTATGTAAAGTTTTCCAAAAAATGTAAAAATTTTCAGTACCAACAATCTTTGTCCAGCAATAAGAAACAGTTAGTTCAAGTGTTCTTTTTCTAAATGGGGTGAATGTAAAGAGGAAAGTTCACTCTGCACACTTTTGCAAACTCAGTCAAAAATTTAAAATGTCTTTATTTTGACATTTTTTGACACAAAGAAAAAAACATATTCAAAAAACTATTAACACCAAGTGCAGTAGTGAATGCTGGACTGAGAGCTTGCAATGTGATCACCTAACAACCACAGCTAGCAGATCCTTACTTTATCTTTTGCAAATTCTAGGATGTATATACTAATCCTACTGTTAGTGCCATTAAGCAGTGAATTCATTTTGAATCTGCTTAGCTGAGAAGCTATCTATGTCATTGTAGTTGTCAATAAATATTTATCCTTGAAAGCATACAACAATAGCAGTGAATAACAAAGAACATCAATTGGTAAAAAACCTCCTCTCTTTCATCCATTTACTTTTCTTCCCAGAATTCATTTTGCATAGTTCAGAAGAGGAGTGCCAGTCTATATCACTACTGCTTCCAGCTGTTTTTTACACATTGTCATCCTTAAGGGTACCTCAGTTTCCAATCCCATGTAATATTTCCGATCCGGTATCTTACCTCCTCTCACAAAATAGCTTTTCTTGATTAGCACTGCTTGCAATTGGCTCAAATTTTCAATACTCACCACTAACCTTCCACCCCCAGCTTCTGCATATCCACACGTAAATAATTATGCAGCAGTTCTCCACCAATAGGCATGCGACAAAACCCCTATTGTAACCAGTACTCTCTCCACATTTGCACTCTTTAGTTACTTCTTGATTGGCAGTAGTACTATACAGACATGCTTGTTTTTGGTTGCAAATTTGTCGACGTTTTCCTATGTGGTGAGTGGTGCCTGACCAGGTAAATATATATATATATATTTTTTTTTTTGAAAATCCACACTGTCCATCCTGTGACCATGCTTGATGTCAATTATGTTGTAGCAGACCTAATATACAATTTCAAATGCTACCAGGTGTTGGTTCTGTGTCTCTATTCAATTGTCATCTATGTGAAACAATTATGTTGCAGGATTAGGTTACACACACCGTACAGATGATGTGTTCCATTGGACTGCTAGTAGTTCTTTCTAGTGATATTTTGCTTCATAAATATGTTCATCTCAGACTGTACACTCATGGGCACACATGAGTAAAACAGACAGAGATTGCTGCTCATCTCTGATGCTTTGTGGTGTTGAAACTTTTCCTATCGTGGACCTGACTCCAATTCCAGATGCTGCTGGGTGTTGGTTGATCAACTCCGTCAGTTTGATAGCTCTGCTTTTCAAAATAGGGTATTGCGGTCACCCATTGCACTTTTCCCTCCTATTTTGTGGTGGAGTATGGGAGTCCTTGCCACTTACCAGTTCCTGGCTGCTGAGGTGGTAGACCATGGAGACCTGTTGGTATTCTGCGGGTGTCACTGGTGTATAGCATTTCCTAGTGTGGACCTGATGTACATTTCCAGATACTGCCAGGTTTTGGTTGTAGTACTATGCCGTATTAATATATATATATATATATATATATATATATATATCTTTGTGACAGCTTGCTTTTTCCCACCATGGCATTCCTCCTGGTGGGTCTGGTGTTGGTTGGAGATGGTCCAGCTAAGTAAGTCTTCACATGTGTTCTAGCTGGTATCCCTCCTTCTGCCGCGGACTGATGAAAAATGCCCACTGCCACCAGGTTTTGGACTGGAGATACAACCCAGCTTTGCTGTCCCTCTTCATACCCTTGGCTGGATGTTGATTCACTGCAGATCTGGTGTTGGTTGTAGCTGGATGCAGCACATGTATTCCCACTTGTGTACAGCCGGGTATCCTCTTCCTACTATGGTCTGGAAGAAATATACACAATGCCACTAGGTTTTGGACCAGAGATGTTATCTCATTGGTGCTTTCCTTCTTCCTATCCTTGGCTGGATGTTGATTCCTGGCAGATCTGGTGTTGGTTGTAGCTGAATGCAGCACACGTATTCCCACTTGTGTACAGCCTGGTATCCTCTTCCAACTGTGGTCTGGAAGAACTATACACAATGCCATTAGGTTTTGGACCAGAGATGTTATCTCACCGGTACTTTCCTCCTTCCTATCATCCCCCTAGATGTTGGTTCATGGTGGATCAGGTGTAGGTTGGATTTGAAATGCATGGAGATGGATTTTGGTATGAAAGCTCGTCTTTCCTACCAATTTCCCTTTCAAGGCGAAGAGGTAAGGTGATCTTCTGCCTACCACGGAAATGTTGAATTACTACTACAGTCTGTCGTGCCACTTAGCCACTTGACACCTAGGGGTCCCATTAATCGCTAATACGTATTATGGGATTCCTTCATGTTTTTCCACCTTTGTTTGGATGTGGTGTGGTCTACCACTGAAGTGTAATATTTTCTTTTTTTTGGTTCCACACCTCATGGTCTTTCTTTGGGTGCTTCCTAAAGCATACTTTTTTCACCAGCCTTACACCAGTTCACTATTGGATTCTAGGTGTTTTGTGAGTAGAAGTAAGATATCATACTGGAAGTTAACATTTTCCTAAACTGAAAATGTATTTCTGATAATATTTGCCTCTTTTCACATTTCCCACCCAGCCACCCTACTTACAGTGATATGTGGTGTCGGTATTCTGACCAATCTTGAAGTGATTAAAGAGGCGAATGAGGAGAGGGTGGTTATAATAAGGGTTGTGTCACATGCCTATTGGTGGAGAGTTACTGCATAGTAATTTACATGTGAATTTGCAGAAGTGGGAGGTGGAAGGCTAGTGGCGAGCATTGGAAATTTGCACCAACAGAGGGCAGTACTAATCAAGAAAAGCTATGTGGAGAGGGTAGTTACAATAGGGGTTGTGTCACATGCCTATTGGTGGTGAGTTGCTGCATAATAATTTACATGTGAATATGCAGAAGTTGGAGGTGGAAGACTAGTGGCGAGCATTGAAAATTTGCACCAACAGAGGGCAGTACCAATCAAGAAAAACTATTTTGTTAGAGGAGAGAAGTATCTATTGGAAATACATTTTCAGTTTAGAAAAATGTTAACATTTGATAATGTGTAATATCAGCAACATCCTGATCTGTGTGTCACTTTCCTGTATGAATGCTCCATTTAAAGGTCTAGTTAAACAATAATGATTACAATGTTTCTTGATTTGATGTAACACACAACAAGATATGAAATCCATCTAATTACGCTTGAGTGAAAAAAAGCCAATACTCTGCTTAAATTCAAATGGTAGGTAATATTTCATAAACATAGCAAAATAAAGCAATGTAGCATTATTTGCATTGCATCATTGTATTTATGTGCTGTAAAACTTCCGAAATGATACCTCACCTCTGCACATGTTTAACATCTTTCCTCTTGAGTTTTTGCATTTTGCCATAAAGATTAGCAAGTCACCAGCCTGGTGAAAACTCCCACCTAAGCTCACATGAAAACATGTGAATTTACATCACATCATGTAGCAGATCATTTCACCAATAGGAATGGGAAACATCTCCAAGCACAAAGACTCCCTCTACATTCCTGCTCGTGAATCCTCATTCTTTTCCTCAGTACCGTAGTGCACTGACATGTTTTCGAGTTTGCTGAGATTTGTGATTTTTTTCAAACTTTTTCAAATTTCAATTCTTACTTGAGTTTATTAAACTGAATTCATAAATTAATGTGAATATTTCTAAGACTGATGTGAGTGAAGAATCTCCTGACATTGAACAAATTAATGTCATTTCTGATGGGAGTTATTTTTCTGTAGAAGACCAATGAGGATCTGGGCACATTCTCTGAGTCTTTCCTCATTGATTGGAGCACAGTAGACCCTTGTCACTTACCAGCTCCTAACCAGTAGGGTAATTGACCATGAAGAATCCTCACTGATTGGGACCTAACCTCTGGGGTTATAATAAGAAGTGAGAAGTGGGGATGGGGTGATACTGAAGTGTAGTGTGGGTCCCCCATATAACTGCCTATGATACATCACAATCTTCAAGTAGACTGATGGTACCTCTATTACTAGTCCATTCCACATCATACTGCCAATAAAACACCCATTCCCACAGTTGGCATGCAGGCTATAGACTGATGTTCAATGGTGATGTATATAATACAGGGCCCTCCCACAGCAGGCCCATAGTGACTGTTGGTAAATTATAGGTTTAAATAAGTATCCATGCAGACATGATTTGATACAGTGCTCTTCTCCTACAGCAGGCATGGGGCCCATAGAAACTGACAGTAGAGGTGAGTACACAAGATACGGTCCAAACAAGCCCCAACCTCACTACACATATTGGCTGTTTGACAGCTTGTGTGCAGGTTTTTAGATGGCCATGTACATGTGCTGCCAATCCTTGCAGCACCCTTATTTCTTTTCTTTTTCTCTTTATTCATTGCCTTGCAAAGAATGAGGATTCATGATTGAGAATATAGAGGTAGTCATTGCACGTGGAGTGGTCTTGTACTCCTATTGGTGGAAGGTTCTGCTGCATGATAACTTCATCATGCAGTAGCACAAGTTCAGGTGTTTTTCATGTGGGATTAGGTGGAAATTTTCACAAGGCTGGTGGCTTGCAAGTCTCTTTCATCAAATGCTTAAACTCAAAAGGAAAGAAACTACCTGTGTGGAGAGGTAAGTATCTGTCAGAAATATGTTTTCAGGCAAGATAAATGTTAACATTCAGTTTTGCTCCTAATTAATCTAGTTTTTAGTCCACCTTATAATGAACGATCAAACAGAACATGAACTCTGATTATCTTAATCCAACTAAGAATTATTACTGAGTTACATTGAACAAAATGTGATGTGGTTAATTAGAATATAAGGTGAATGTAAATTCAGGTTTACAATACACAAATAAAATTATGCAATTTGAGTAATCCCAAGTTGTTTTATTTTGCCTAGTTTATGAGACATCACCTACTCTTTGAGCTAAAGCAGAATTTTTTGTTGTTTTTTTCGTTTAAATATTTTCAGATAGATTAAATAATCTGTTTAATAATAATGTCTACTAATGCATCTAGCCCGAGACATGCTGTAGTTGCTATAATTACTTGTAAAAGTGAATTTTGTTTGTTATGGATAACTAAGGCCACCTAGAATTTTTTTAAGTAGGTGTTAACAGGCTGAAAATGTTCTTTGTACCGTGAAACATAAGCAAAACAACTCTGAACTAGCTCTCATTGTTTTAATGTATTACTTATTTGCTTGCAATTAAAGATTCTAATTTTTTGAATACAGATTTAAAATATTTTTAGGATGGATTAATTCCACCATTAAGTAACTTACACCATTGATGTATGACTGAGAACATTGAAATCTTGGGTTATTATTATTTTTTTCTTGGTTTATTCTGTGTATTGTTAGCCTTACCCAATGGAAGGAGTATTATTTTCACTTCTGTATGTATGTATGTATGTGTGTGTGTTTATTGCCAGTTTCAGTTGTAAAAGTTTTCAACACATTTTGAACAAAATTGTTACAATAATTAACTGTTCCTCAAAAATAAATTGATTAAATTTTGATGAATGTAGCTTAGAGGTCATAGTCACACAGAAGATCAACCAGTTTTTTTATATTGGTAGTAAATTGGGATTTTGAAAAACAGTCAAACTGGATAACAAATTGGGATAGAACACAGGGAATTGTTTGGTGTATATTTTAGGTTGGTTATTGCAAAAGTTAAAGTTATGGGACAGGGGTTGCAGTCTCTGAGTACCATTCTAGTTGGATTTTATTTTTGATCAGATAGTGTGTGGATTTTCTCATTCAGCTTTGGAGAATAAAGGACAGGGAAAATAGACAAAAAGTTGAAATTGCCTGCTGAATGTTTCAGCTTCATTGACAAGATGTATTTATATTTTAGTGAGACTCAAATTAATTGTTTTCATTGTTTGGGGATTCTTTGGTTGGACATGTTAAACAGTTTTATATTTATCAAACTGAATCAGTATTTAAGGAAAAGACTGATGTATTAATAGACAGTAAATGAAGGTTAAGTTAACTTATATATGATTGTACAATTTTCAGAACCTTTGATTTTTCTCTTGAAACTAGAGGCAGATATTTTTCTATTTTCTCCAAGCAGTGTTTGCTGGGTAATATATTCTAGATGGTAATAGTATTAAATAAAGATGTAATGCACATATGACCTCTTTTTTTTTCTTATTTACTGCTTGTATAAATTTTCCTTTACTAAGCTATTTAATATATTTCTTTAATTTTGAAACTTTGTGCAAAAGACTTCATATTGGTAAGACTGCCACTGAATATATAAAACCTGTTACAGTCTATATTTTGAAAGTAGTATTTTTTGTGAAAGTGGCCTATAAAACCTTTTTTTTTTCAACCAACCCAAACCAAATGTGTATGTATTTGTATGTTTTAATATAAGTATGTTAAAAACAGGACTTTGGAGAAAAGTATTAAGTTTTCACTCTAATGATAAAACAACCTATAACAAAAGCCTGTTACATTGTTAAGTATTCATTTGAAAAACATAAAAAACTATTTTGGTCCCAATAATACTCTGATTTTATGAATGGTTCACATTGGAAAATTGGTTATTTGTCAAATAAATTAGGCAGAAACTTATAAAATATTTTAATGTTACATTATTTTGAAGAATAAAATAGGAAATCTATACTGATGAATTGGTTAATTGAATTATTTTAACCATATTTGCTTTACTGGTACAGCATTCACAAAAAATTATTAAAAAACAAGTTATGAATATTATAAAAATGTATCTTACATGCATCATACTTGACAACGGTATATTTAAAAAGTCAGTATATATATACTTTTGTAAACTGTGTTTTTGATATTTGAACTTGGATGTTTACTTGCTAGAATGTGCATGATGCAATATCTAGAAATTTCATAAAAGCTGAGGCCTTTGTAGAATATAGAAATTTCGTGCTGTATGTAATACAAGGGTTTGGTGTAAGTAAGAGGATCAGTGAAGCAGTGAGTTAATGTGTTTGCTATCAATCAGTTAGCAAGGAATTTCTGTTGAAAAGTTTATGAGTAAGTTAATATCCCACGTTTGTATTGAAACATTTGTGAACTTAGGCCTACAACTTGTGTCAAAATGAATATAGCCAGAAGCAAACATAATTAAATAGATGAATAAATTCATTATCATTACACAGACTTGACTTGGCATTATTTTTATCACCCAACCATAGAATATGTTATAACACTGATGTCAGAAGTGGGATTATTAAACTTCAAGATGACAACAAGATCAGAAGCTTGATTTGAAATGATTAAGCAATTAAAAAAAGACCAAGAAGAAAGAGATAACAAAATATAAAAGAAGACAGAGAGCTAAGACACAGGAATGTAAGAGAAGAGTTAAAAAAACATCATCATATTCAAAGTGGAATTAAAAACAAAGCTACGTCTTATTGAAGACATGACTGATAAAGCTATTGGAGATGTACAGATGGTTTATAACAACAATAATGAAGAAGTACAGAAAGGCTGTAATAACACAATAAAAGAAGTTGAAAAAGAAATCAGTGACAGAATAAAACATTTGGAAAAAGAATTGGTAAATGCAAAGACCAAGCCAGCCACACCAGTTGTTGCATCCACCCAAGAATTCCAGTTTTAAATGCCATTTGCTATTAAATATGAAATAGGAAAATATATTTGGTCTACACCTGTTGCCACTACTGCAGGACTTTCCTTGACTACTCCAGCTATGACAATACCAAAACAAGTTCGAGAATTGAATTGGCTAATTCATTAATCAACCAATTGAGAAACCAGTGGACTATGATGGAAAGGTATTGTGAGAGGCTTATCAGGCTCAGTTCAGAATAATTTCCAAAGTGAACAGATGAAACAGTGAACAAGAAGCTGTTCTTCTTCCATACAATTTAAAAGGACCAGCTGAGAATTGTAACCACAATCTAGTATTGGTAACTGCCTTATCCAACAGTTTCATAGTGACACACTAGAAGGAAATATCCAGAGTAAAGTATGGAGGAAAGAAGAGGGCTTAACTGAACTTGCAGATTTGGTCCACTTGAAATGGTGGATTCATTAGCATGTCACCAATTTATAGATGCCATAACAGATGCGGATATAGAAATTAGGCTGAAGCAAAGTAAGTATATATCTTTAAAGGAAGCTCTCAAATTGGTGATGGAACTTAAATTCATTAAAGTCACAGATAAAATACTAAAGATGCCATCTAGAAGTTAAGGGATCATCAGATCAAGTAGTGTTGAAACATCAACTCCCCATGACAATAGTTTAGAAGAACTGAAGGTATTAGTTACATAACTAGTTATACAGAATGGAGAAAATAAATCATGAGACAGTAGGTGCATTATATTGCCAGTAACTGCAGCAAAAAGTCTGTGGAGGATAAAAACACTCCCAAATGATGTCAGAAAATGGAGAACTTTTATAGATGTGGGAAACATGACCATTACAGCTGAGACTGTGAGGAAACAACAGCTTTTAATAAACCAAGGAGAAAATAACCGAAGAATGAGTCTCAAAGCTCAAATAGACCAAAAGAACAACAAAGAGCTAACCAGACATCAAAAAAGCAAGAATTAGTTGAATTTATGAGGCAAAGTACAGTTAAGAATGCTCAATCTGTCCCAAGAGAGATAAGAAATTCATTTGTAATCAGTCCACAAGACAATAGGTTTATCAACAGGACATGCTGGAGAATTTGGTTCTAATACATCCCAGTCACTAGATATATATCTATTCCTAATAAGACCCAGTATGATTATTTCACTTTTTCTCACTGGAAATTCAACCTCTGGTGTACTAATTGCCATGTAGTGCACAGGGATTTCTTGTATCTGCATGAAGTCAGTTCCCAATATGCATTCTTCTTTATGTCAATTACCCATACATTCTAGAGTAGAAGTAACTTGCAATTTCTAACATGCTGGAACTTTATGTTTACTTTCTTTTCACATCAGTCCATCTTCTTTGGTGCTGGAGGTAATTGCCCACTTTCCATTACCAAATTGGGTTCAACTGTTGTATCTGTAGGACCAGTGAGGGATTAATGGTTGGAAAACCTTGTGGATCTAAAGATTAAAGATGGCATCATAAGGCCATAATGAACCATAAAATTTGAATCAAGTGTGTTTGGGATATTGCAAAATGTAAAGCTGAACAGATAGTAATTTCACATCAAAAGTAGTCACATTTGAGGCAAGGTGTAGGAAGTCTGATGTCAAATTCTCACGTAAGGACAGCTTGCCACTTCACAAGAGATGTGTAACTGGAACTATGGAGGTCTTACAGCTGATAAATGCCATAGATTACATGAATTGCTCACAGAATCTCAAGATATGTTGTTCAGTAGACTTCATAACACAGGCTTAACAAATGAATTATCTCATAAAATTGATACTGGAGATATAGCCTCAATATGCCATTTAGCCAGACAACATCCACTTAACAAGTTGAGACTTTAGAAGAATAAAAGGCATGAAGGAATAGTAGAACTGAGTATTGTCCTTGATCATCACCCATTGTACCTGTAAGAAAAGAGGATGGAACCACAAGGTTCTACTTGGACTATTGGAAGGTGAATGAAGTCACAAAAAAGTATGCCTACTCACTTGCAAGGATTGACTAATTTTTATGCACTATCTGGATCAAAATAGTTTTCAACATTGATCTTAAGAATTGATATTGGTAACTGCAACTCAATGAACAAGTAGAGAGAAGACAGGTTTTACTGTAGGAAAGTGATTGTAGTAATTTATTGTGTTACCATTTGGATTATGTTACATTTCCATGACCAATGGAGTTTCATCTCTAAACTACTATGGAATGTCCTATTATCTACTTGGATGATATAATCACACATGAGTAGAAGCTTTGATCAGTTGAGGAAAGAAAACCTTACACTGCATCTCATTTTCTCTAAAATGTAGTGAGCAGAGAAGGGTCCATAGAGCCATCTCAGATTGAATTTATTCATTATTGGCCAACACCAAAGAACTTCCATGAGGTAGGAAGATTTCTTGGACTTTGTTCTTACTATCATTATTTTATGAAAGAATTTTGTAACACAACATGCCCTCTTCACAAATTGCTTGAAAAAAACAAACTTTTGTTGAACTGCTGATTGTGAACAAGCATTCAACAAACTGAAAACGGAATTGACCATTACTCCTGCATTAGTATAGCTAACTCTTGAATATCCACTCATTTTAGATGCAGATGCTAGTGATTTTCCAGTGGTGTCAATGTTATCACAATTACAACATGGAAAATAACATGTTATTGCCTACTATAGCAAGACAATTAAAGCTGCAGAAAGGTGATATTATACAACATGGAAAGAGCTACTAAGTGTTGTTCGAGCCCCAAGTCATTTTCATCAGTACACATATGGACAAAATTTTACACTCTAGACAGATTATGCAGCATCAAAATGGCTAGTGAATATTCGTAATTCAGAAGGCTAGGAGTACGTCTTCATCATCATTCGTCATCCTGGACAGAATTTCGAAATGATACACTATTATGAAGATGTGTGTTCATGAAAAGCGGTAAGGATAAGATAGTAAAGTTGACTAACCTAAAGAAGAGTATAGCCCAAAATGGGACTTCTCCAAGTTATGATGATGATGAATTAATGTGATCCAAAGTGAAAGATGATCAGGCAAAAGATACGATTTTGAAACCAATTATTCAGTGGACCATGAATAGTGCAGAAACATTTATGGTAAACAATTATACGATATAGCTAAAGACAAAGATGTACAAAAATGGTTATGCTAGAAATGGGAAGACAACAGAGGGCAAAAACAACGACTATAGTTGGTACTTGTACAGTGTACATTCCAAAGTACTTCACAACCTTCCAGTAACTGGACACTTAGGTGTTAAAAGGACAATGGAGAGAGTAAGAGAATCATTTTATTTGGTTTAGTGTCGGAGGATTGGTGTACATCATGTGAACTATAATCTGAGAAAAAGTCCACAAAAGAAATAGCATCGGCAGCTACAGCAGTATTGTGTTGAAGCATCGCTTGAGAGAGTTTCTGTCGATTTGTTTGTTCCTCTGTCACAGAATAACAGTTGAAATAAACGCATTATGGTTGTAAAAGACTATTTCACAAAATGTCCAAAAGCATATGCCATTCCTAATTGGAGGGCAGTACTAGCAAGAAACCTCATCAATGAATTTGTTAGTAATGAAACTTTAATCAGCTTTCTTTACACAAATGTCTCAGATCTTTAGAATAAAAAAAAGGACCAGGATGGCAGCCCTTCAGTCATCTTCCAATGGCATAGTGAAGAGATACAACATACATATTAAACCAGTTAGCCATTTATGTGGATGGACTGAGGAAAATATGAGATCAAGATCTTCCATTGCTACTTATGAGCTCTTGAAAGACAGTATATAATAACACAAATAACATATCACCATCACTGATGTTAGGGAAAAAAACCTAAAATGTCATTTGACTTTCTGTACTCGATTCTGGAGGACAACCACTCAGCAGTCTTGCACAGAATATGCAGAAAAATTAAGGAACATTATTCATGTTTATATATGACTTTACC